AAACCAACTTTTAAAAAAAAAAAAAAAAAAAAAAAAAATTTCTAAAATAATTATTAGACAAAGAAGACATGAGCTCTGGGGTTTAATGGATTACTAACCTGCACCTGCGCCCTATAAAATTTTGTTAAAGGTGTTCATGTTAAGTCCCAATATCTTTGAATTGTTCAGTATGTTTATAATATAATGAGAAAGCTGTGGGTCTCTTATTTTTAAATCTCTTGCACTGAAACTGCAGTAGCTACAGTCTCTCTCAAGGACATGGCATCAATGTGATTACATGTAGATTTAAAATTTTATTATTATAGACAACTAGAATAGTTGGAACTTCATCTGTCATGTAGTAATGGTGTGATCTGAGTTACAAGTAAAACTGGTTTTTCTCACTGTGCTATGCATTCCCTTAATTGGACTCCATGTTGCAGATGTCACCCAGGCTTTGTCGGGATGAGGTGTGAGCATGCAGACCTGCTGGCTGTGGTAGCAACTAATCACAGACAACAGACTGTTGCCACAATGCTGGTGTTGTGTGTGAGTGGAAGTGTCCTGATCATGGTGTTGTGTACACTTTCACAGTGAGTATCTTTATAAAAACATCAGCCTCCCACCATTCTGGTACCACTTTCTGAGTATGTGGCTGAAAAACTGTGCATGCTTTATATAGCAAACATAGCGAAATGAGGTCGGTACATTTTTTTTTTCATGTAACTGACTTGATACCAGAACAATTTTCAGGATTTTGAGTGCTCAAGTTCTTTCTCATGCAGTTGTTGGTGGAGACAGGACTGTCGCAGGCGGAGTCATGCACACCACTACGTCCCAGAGAAGGATGGAGCTTTGCACCATCCATCTGAGAGCGGTACTTCTCTTATTTTTTGTGTAAAAAGTTCATTACTAAGGTTGTGTTGATTTTTATTTATTGGCTGTTGGCAGTGTAGATAACTAATATAATATCATACTATCATTATTTTGTTGTCAAAACCAATTTGCCCGTTTCTTCTCCACTCACTCTGCCTGTGGCTTTCAGCACCAAGCCATTTGACCCTAATGTAAATGTAAACCTGTACAAACGGGCTACAAACTGTTTAATGTTCAAAAAAAGAAGTCTCCTCACTGGGCAAGTCACTGTAGTTTTTAGAAAAGCATTACTTAAACATGAGGAAATAGTGCAGTTACGGATTAATACACATGTGGTGCATTAGTGAGTGTTGATGGCAGTGTGACTTTGAATGTGGGACCTCCATTACGGTAGCTGAGTTCAGGCTGATCTTGTTGTCTCATGGGATTTGTTGAAAGATACAGCATACAGGCTTATCCTAAAAATCTTGAGGGAAACAAAACTTTAACTATTTATCTCTTACTTTTCCCTTTCAGTGGTTTGAGAAGACATCTCGCTGGACCATGAACTGTTTGTATCATGGTGCGTTTCCTTGTGTCTGACTGTGCAAACCCTCAGGACTGCAACCAAAGTGGTACTACCTGTTCTGATCCAGCAAACCTGGCCAGAGGTGAAGCAGCATTATCATCAGTGTGACTAAGGTAGGCCTGCTTGATGTGGGACGTCAGACATTTTTTCCACTGACTGGGACTTTTGGACTGCAGCCACCTAGGAACACATTGGCTTTGCTCTTTTGATTCTGTGGAAAAATACACAGAACTGCAAGTCTGTTTGAAGCTCTGAGGATAAAGTTGCTGCCGACGAGCTCTAGATACACTGCTGACAGTTAACAGCTGGCCTAAATGACTTTAGAAAGGATCTACAGGGTCACTGATCATCTTTTGCGGATATTGATTAGGAAAAGTGTTTATGTTGGGCTGTGGGCCGACAATAATTCATTCACTTAAGTCAGAAGATTCCAGTTCCTATTTTTGTCTTTTAGTATCTTTGCGCACATTTCATCAGAACTCGACAAGCACAGAGGACATTTTATTAAAAAATATGGTGGTGGAATCTGATGCTTTAAAAACATTTTAGTGTCTGTTTTTAAAGAAGGAACTCACTTCACCTGACAGGGGTAGGAACTGTAACTGGACTGACTGCTACTAGATTAAAAACCCTGGATACGCCTGGACGTCCTCTGTTATACACATAGGTTGCAACTTAAAAATGTCCCATATGGTTTTGTTATGAAGAAAAAAAAAAAAAATCAGGTGTTATTTCAAAGGATCTGATGACTCCAGTATTGCTACTGAAACTAAAATATTTGTCAGTTTTAGTTTTTATTCCTGATCTGTACTTGAACATGTTCACGCATCAGAGGTTTTTGATTTGCAAGCTATAACTGTACCGACACATGCACACCCTGGGTGGCCACACCGATCTATTTTACCATTTAAATGTTGCACTTTTCCTTAAAAAAAATCATCCACATAATGAGATGCCAAATACACTCGTCTTTAAATTTGCATGAATGAGCACTGACGGGAAGAGGCATCCACTTAAGCATGTATGCACTTAAATCACAGCTTTTATTTGGAGCAGGTTATAGCATTGTCTCTGCTTTAAATACATTTAAAGTGGGGAAAAAAAACTCTGAATCTCAGAAAAAAGATTTGATGAAGGAATATAAAACTACTATTACAAACTGACATGGATATAATTGGTGCATGTGCTTTGTGTGATGAGAAAAAAATTCCAGCATAAAATGAATGTGATGATATTTCTATGCCAGAAGACTGAGGGGATGACATGCTTGTCATTTGTTTACAATATGTGACATTTACATTCAGAATGTGTCTGTTTTATTACAGCAACGGTGTGTAAATATGAAAAACAAATATTCTGTGTGTGCGTGTGTGTGCGTGTATAGCAATACAGAATCATCTGAAAAGGAGATCCCACTGATGATTAACCTCTTTTCACTGTCAGATTTATGTTCTCACAATTAGAAAGCCTTTATTATCTGAATTTGTTTTCCAATGAAGAATTATAAATGCAAGTGTGTGTCTTTGTTTTATTTGTTTTAAATGAATGTGCTTCTTAAATGCAGCTCCATCTCTGTCTGTTATTTGCTCCATGGTGTGACCTTGTTCCCCACGAAGCTCTTTCCTTCTAACTCTCATCTCTATTTTCAGACACTCTGCTCGTCTATTTTTCTCTTCCACAGAATATTTTAATACAGAAAAGCCAACAAAACCCTGAACCCCGGGCCCGACAGAACAAAGAGCCCAACTCTTGAGTGCTTCTGTAGCTGACAGAAATGTTTCATCCCTCTTCTATAGAGTATCACTATTCATTTGTGATTCCCTTATTAGTTTGACACAATCTAGACCTGTTCATGTTGAAGCATTTGTTCAACACTGTGCCACATACACCCTTTGCTTTTCATTTCCACTGTACTGTATGTCACTAGTTGTCATCTTCCCTCATAACATGCTGTATCTTCTCCGCTCTTCTGTTTTGCTCCCTTCATATTGTTTTGCAATCCCGTTATGTCTGCAAATGGATTTCTGTGAAGCCCTTTAGAGCCATCTGGCTGGGCTACTAAACCAGCTTTGAATTAAACAGCTCTTGTGGGCGCTTCCCTAAAGATACAGTATATAATACCCTTTACGTACAAAGAAGTCCAAGGAGGGGAAAAAATGAAATCAAGTGAAAACTGTGCCAAGAAAAGGGAAATGAAAACATAAGAAACTGGGTGTTTATTCACACTTTGTGGCATGTAATGGAGGGAAGTTTTGTGAACATCAGAGAATTCTCATTAAACCCGATTTGGACAAATGTCAATCCCCATTCCCCATGAGAGGCTGTGAACTGCAGTGCCATTCTGGTCCCTTTCCTCTGGTTCTTTTGATCCTAAGCCCAAGATTCCCAGTTATCTGTGTCTGACCAGATGGTTTGAAATAAGAGTATTTACAAAGGTATTAGTGTTTAGCAACCCTGCCTTGTTCTCCTCACTGCTAATCACTAGAAATGATGAAAAGCTCAGTAGCTCCGGTTAAACAGCCAATTCAAATAAAAAATAAAAAGGAAGGTACTTGTAGCCAAACCTGAGAGTGAAAGCATGAACATGGGGTCCTGGTTTTTCAGTTTATACTTGACTTCAGTACTGTTGTCATGTCTTCATTCATCTGGGTAAAGTTATAATTATCTTTGTGTAAAATTATACGAGTTTCCTTTAGAGCATATCAGCCTGTGTCATGTTGAGATCTGATGTGGAAAGTTCTGAGACTAAAAAATCCACAATAAATTTCCTCAAATGTGGATTTGACATTTCTGTACTGTTATGTTTTGTTACTTATTGTCTAATATATACTGTATATAGTGGTAATATCTATCTGATAAGCTAATGTTAGCCACACTGATAGATCAGCTGGGCTCTTGTTACAACAAATGTTTTCCATCTTTTCTACTGATTTCAGTAGAGGATACTTGGCACTATATTTAAATACAAACATTTATTCCATGCTACTACTTTATTTACAGTAAATATATACAGTTGCACTGTATTTTCAGTTTACTAAGGATTCCTATACATTTTTGACAAGACAATTTAATCTGTTGTGTGCAGAGGATGACGTGGTCAACATGGCTGCATCCCAGCAATAAGTTCCTTAGCTGAACCACAGTGAACTTGAGTAGCTTTGCTCTTTGAGCCTATGCCTGTTTGGAATTATCACATGCGCTGCTGAAGCTGTGACGGCAAGTCCTCCAGGGAGCTGAGCCGATGCTCTTGAGGAACTTCAGGCTGTTTACGCATGCATCTGTCTAATAGAAACCCACAGATGCCCACAGATCGAGAGGCGAGGTAATCATTCACATAGTGGTCTCCAATATGGGCTACGCTGGCAGCTGGTACACCACATTTCTGCAGTGCCTGTCCAAAGATGGCTGAGTTTGGCTTAGCTATGCCTGCTTCCTCTGAAGACAGCAGAAATGTGAAGTGAGACAGCAGGCCACAAACCTGTAAGATCGCTTCTAAGCGGCTGTCAAAGTTGGATACCACACCCAGCTTCAGTCCTAGAGAAGAGCAACTCTCTAGGGCCTTCTTTGAGTCTGGAAAGACCTGAAACAAATTGTTTCAGTGTGTAAACAATGATGGAAAGTGCAAACAGATCCATCATTTATAGTTTTTCCCATATTAGTACAAAGTAAAAAAATATAGACTTTTGATGATGACAGTGATGGCAAATAAAACCTTCACTCTATTTACTGTATATATGTTTGTGTATTATTTCAAATTTGAATATATTTGGTAAACTCAACATAAATCATCAAAAGTCTTTATAAATCACTGTATAAATCAAATAACTTTTAAATATAAAACTTATTATTCATTCTGTGTATATGAATCTTGAGTGGTTATTTACCTCCCAGTTCTCTGCATTACAGTAATTATGATAAAGGTTGTGAGCCATTGTATTTAGCAGGGCTGGGTCCTGTACACGACACAGGGAAAAAGTGTCCCGCACCACTCCCATCCACCAAGACTGTCCATTCAGGCTCTGGGTGATGCCATAATTTGGGTATCTGGTGGAGTAATTTTGATACACATGGTGGAAAGCAGCATTAACCTCCACAGGACTGAGGCTGATGCCCATTCGTTCAGCCTCCTTGCAGTACTGCTCTCCCACAGACAACCGCACCTTCAGCAGGGTGTCCTTCACATCCCATAGCACCCAGCGGAGAGGAGCTCGCATTACACCTGCACAGGTAAGACATAAGACACCTTAATGTGTAAAGAAACCCTGAGAAAAACAGGTTAGTAAATGTTCCCTAACCAGGAGGCTGTTTCTATGAGTTCTACTCAGACAAAACTAAAGATCGAGCTTAAAAGTCATTAACTATTCACTGAACAGTCTGCTACATGGTTTTATTGTGTTATTCCAAATGTCTAGTGTTATATTAAATCAAATACAATGGAATCCAATTGGAGAGGTTGAATGACTTAGGAAGCTGATTTTGTAACCAGGTACAGCCTTTTATCTACAACAGAGTTCCCCATACAGTGAGTACTGGTATCAGGGCCGGCTCAGCGAATTGGGAACAATGTACAACTATCCTAGGGGCCCCTATGAGTCTATTTTCACTCCGAGTTGGAAGCCTTATTGAATTACTACAAAACAATAAAACACAATCTTCTGACATGGCAAAGGCCTGAAGGTGGGTCCTGCATTAATGTATTCATCTGTCTTGTAGAGAGGCCCTCACTAGGAGGCTCATTTGGGCATGGTCATCACATGGTATAGGCCTTTTTCACAGAACATATTCACAGTAAGGAAAGCCAAGGTATTAATAAAAACATTAAAGGTGTTTTCAATAATTCTGATTAGACCATTGCTTGGTTGAAGAGGGGTGCCTGTCCTCCTGCTCTGAACTGAAATATTTCTGTGTAAAAAAAGGCACAGGTAGTGACTGCTGGCACTGTATATGATATTTAAGTTGGAAGCATAGTTATAACTCAAATAATTAAATCATGTAGGCCTACATGCATGAGGGAGCCTCTCCTCCTCCTACACAGGACCAAGACTTAAAACGGCATAAAATTACCACAAACCAGGCAGTTGTGTTGTTTGAGGTAGTTTGCATTATTTGCATCTCTTTGTTTGCATTTTTTCTGGTATTTTTAAATTAATTTGTGGATATTTTGCATTGTTTTGTTTCTTGTTCTGCGATATTTTGTGAATGAAGACCATGGAGCTCATGGAGGTTAGGACCCATTCAATAATTCATCCCCCTGAAATGCATTTTAATACTTTTCACACACATCTTTGGCCCCTATCAGCCCCAGCACATATTTGGGCCTACTGTATATTATTTATAGATCAATATCCCTACTTTCTATATATCGTTTATAGATAAATATCCCTACCAGAAAATGTGGTGCTTTGGTTTATATAGACATTATATGACATTTCCATCCATCATCTATACTGCTTATTCCTGAATAGGGTCGATGGACATTGGGCTGGACAGGTCGTCAGTCAATCACAGGACTAACATGTAGGCAAACAACCATGCCTTTGGACTAGGGGAGGAAGCCTGAGAACCCGGAGAGAACCCACACAGGAACAACATGCAAACGCTGCACAAAAAGGGGCTCGAACCCGGAATCCTCGTGCTGTGAGGCGACAGCGCTAACGACCACCGCTATGTTACAATAGACAGAAACACCTTGTACTTTTTATAACCAAAAATGTTCTATTAACGACTTATCAGTAAATATGTTAGAAAGCTACTCAGACTACAAATGTTTATAACCGCTTGGCACGTTACCAACCAGATTTCTCCGTTGGTAAACACGATTAAAAGCTGTCAGTTTTTTCTTCTTCTTCTTTTACTGCTGCTGCTACTTCTTCTTCTTCTTTTACTGCTGCTGCTACTACTTCTTCTTCTTCTTTCTTCTTCTTCTTTTACTTCTTCTTCTTCTTCTTTTCTGGAGTTTTATGGCAGCTGTTGCCATCCTCTGGAGGTTGTGTGACCTTCGCATTTATTCATTGTTCTGTATTTAAAAAAATCAACCATCCTCTTTCTCACCCAGTTTAAACCACACATAAGTTAACCCCCATTTTTATTCTAATGACTGCTAAACACAGTCTTATCCTCTTTTCCCGATGTACGACTCTTTCTGCAGCGCTGTCCTTTCATACATCCAGCACAGCAGGTGGCGGTATGATAAGAGCTAGCTACTAAAACGTACAGTGCCAGTGATGTACGCATGGGACAAATTCACACGCAGTGAAGGCAAGGGAAGGAGAAGCAAATATTGTTTTAGAAAATAACCCGACCCGTGTAAAAGTCTAAGGAGCTATAACCTAATATAGCTGTTCAAGAAATTGGGATGAACTGATGGTACTAACGCAATGGCAACGCCAGCTGTTCGCATGTTTCGGAGGTTAGAGGGTCTGTTTTGTGTTTACAAACCCCCGGGTATTCACTGGAAACTCGTACGGGACAGCATCGAGACAAATCTTCTTAAAGGTGACAATAACAATTCCTTTAAAACCTATCCAACGGTCCATCAACCTCTCTCGCAGACAGATTTCTCAGTGGAGACTTAATGTGTAACATTACATTATCATCAGCGCCAGTGTCTTCTTTAATCTTGGAATCTAACTAAATCGCTGACCTGTTGACCTATGTGTTGAACCGTACAGGTTTGAACGCCACACCTTCTCGGCCACTTCCTCGGGAGGTCCGTTTCTTGCCACAGCCAGGCAGCGATGCTGAGGGACCCGAGGGACCTAAGGAACTCAAACTGTGTGCAGCGTCTGTGCCTGTGCTGTCCAAGCACCCTCTGGGTACGTGTGTCTATTCATCTCCTGTCCTCCTGCTTATTGTTCCTACACACCACTACACAAACCGTATCATAGTGGTATTGTAGTAAAGTTATCTTTCATACCTTCAAAGCCTTGTGTAACACCATCTGCTAACAAGACAGAGTCAAAGATGTATTGTGTTACAGTATTCCCAGTGGCTTGGCTTTTTTTTTTATATACACAGTTAAATCCCACTCATTCAAATCTCTCTTTGGCTAATGTCAGCAAACTTAATAAATTGGTTTAAATGATCTTTTTGCTGGTGGGCTATTGCCACTTTAGCCAAAACAATGCATGTGAAGGAATATGTTTATAATTAACAAATTAATTTATGAATACTCGATTCATAATTTTATGCATAGCATTCACTGAAAGTTGTCAGAAAACACGAACGGTTTAGAGGTGCGTATGTGGGTGTGTAACTCCCAAACTGGTTCCCAGACTTTTGGAATCTATTAACAAAAGTAGTCATAGAAGGAGCCAAGTTGAATTTAATTGAAATGTTTAGAATATATACTGTTTTTATGTCTTACCCATTTGCGCAGACTGCAAACGTGACCTATATTCAAACCTTTTTCACAGCAGACATTTTGGCCTGTCACAGCAGAAAGCTCAGCCAGAAGTGGTAAACTTAAAGATGGTTTTGTTTCAGCAATAGCAATGCACCAATTATTATTTGCACCTGTGTTTGATGAGTCAAAATACCAGCTCACTGTACTTTTCTCCCCCTGGTCCTGTCAGCCCAGCCCGGTCATGGCTCAGCACCTGTCTCCTAGAATGGGAACCACTGGCTTAAGTTACACTAGACCATAAATGAATCTAGGCCTGATAGTACTTCAATGAAGCTGTTTTGCATGTGCACACTGAGGAATGAGTGAACAAAATGTCATTTTTCTGTGTTTCAGTAATTGGGCCTGAATTCCAGCATATTCAAGTTGGGGTAGGACATCGTCTGGATGCGTTTTCTTCTGGTGTTCTGGGTATGATTTCATTGCTGATCATTTGAGAAAATATTTGTTTCATTCAGTGTTGTTTTATTTAGATGGATGGATGGATGGATAATTTATTTATCTGGAGGGAAATTTAGTAAATTCAGGAGGTCTTTCAAAATATTCACCCTATTTTCTAAATACTCAGTTCTTGCAGTTGGGAATGGAAACAAGGTCCTGAATGATTTCTACAAAACACGAATCACAAGGGTAAGTTTTGATTTCCACTAGTTTTAAGTGAGAAATGAGAAGATCCAATGGAAACACAATACAGACAGGTCTAATGCTGTTTGATACGTTTTAGGATTACACACTGGAGGGTGAATTTGGGACTGCAAGCGATGATTTCTCTCACACAGGTCGAGTTGTGGAACGGTCCACCTATGGTAGGATACCTTCCTTTTCTCAGCAGTGTATGAAAATTAGCTTTATTTTAAATTACCTCAGTTCACCTAAAATCGGGTAGTTTAAGAATCAATAGGTTTGAGTTGTAGTATTATAGTGAAAATAGCTTGATGCCTAACTTGATATAATTAGTCATTACTGAGATACAGTAATACTGTCTAATGTATCTTTCAGTTAGTCTTAAGTTGAATTCATTGCTTTCTTAGATTCCAGATCTTCCTTAGTTGATACTTGTCTGGCTTACTGGCTGTAGTATAGCTGAGAAACACCATATCCTGTCCCATTTTCACTTGATTTATCAGACAGTGTGCACAACGGTAGTTCATGCACCTTTAAGCTCACTGTGCTAGTTCTTGTGCCTCTGACCCTGAAATGTTGTTGTATTCAACAGGTCACATCACACAGGACAAACTGGACAGAGTACTGGCAGTGTTGCAGGGAGCCAATCAGAAAGCCTTGTTAATGTATGGCAGTTACATCTCTTACATTTCCATAAACATAATACTGACAGTTCATTCTTATTAGACTGGTTTTCTTTATGCTTTGCTTAGGAATATGACCCCCTATACTGTACATATGGGCCATGTTAGAAAGCTGAATGATGAATGAAAGATCACTTTTTCCTGTACAGGTATTCCAATGTAGACATGAACACACAGGAAGCCTTTGAACTGGCAGTGCGAGGTTTACTGGGTCCAGAGGGAAAGTCACCGCCTATTTTGACAGGCCTGCGTTGCATTCACTTTGAGCCTCCCAACTTCACTTTAGGTAAATAATCTTTGCTTGAATACACAGAAAATCAAATTTCACAATTTATAAAATGCTGATCTTGTTGGATATTTTTTTGCATGTACTTACAGAGGTGCAGTGCCTAAATGAAACGCAAAAATATTTGCGCAAAGTTGTGCATGAGATAGGACTTGAGCTGCGCAGCACAGCAGTGTGTAAAGGAGTTAGACGGACCAGAGATGGACCATTCACTCTGCAGGACGCCCTGACCCGTCACCACTGGACTGCTACTGATGTCATGCAGGCCATCCAGCACTACCACTCCTCTAAGAAAAATAAAACACTCTCCCAGTCGCACAGCAAGAAACCAGGATTACAAACAATGGAAGAGAATATGACAGTCAGTCAACAAAATGAACCCAACAAGGAAGCAGCAGCAGGTAGACTTGACTAAATGGTTAAGTGGCTGATCACAAAAAACTGTTAATGAATCATGTCTACTGTTTGTTTTATGAATATTTCATTTTCATCATTATTATATATTATGTATGTAATGTTGGCTTAATTTCCAAATTCTTAATATAAAAGTGGTTTATTTTTATGTTGAAATAAATCTGAAAATTTGACCAATAGTTTTCTTCTTTTCTTTTGATTATGCTACCGTACCATTTGAGTGTATTTCAGTGTGTGCAGACAGAATGTGAAACAGTGCAAACAGTACAAAGCAGTAGTACAAGCTAAAGCAACACCAGGTCTGTAGATGAGATGATGCACCTGGTTTATCAGCACACATACTCCCCCAAGTGGCAAAAGGGCCAAATTACTTTTATTTCAGTTACTTTTCAGATATTGTTATAAACCAGAAACAGATTTAGAAATTTTACAAATTAAGCTGACCTAGTGTGTCTTGACTCTTGTCTAATGCCCAGTTCACACTATATGATTTAACCTGAGAACAGCCCAACCTGATGGTCGTATGGTGTTGGAAACAACAAACGGCGCTGAACACGACAAACAATCATTTTATCTTGTATAGTGTGTTATAGAAAATGACAACCAATGCTGTGTCCGGGATGCCTCACAATGTCCCAACACAAAGTCTAGCTAGTTTTCGGTTTTACTACAGGCTTAAAACACTACCCCAAGTTCTCCATGAATGATAGATGCATAGCCTGCTGCCCTCTTCATGCAACCCACAGATGGGTCCACAGTCATTTTTGTTTTCTTGCACACCACAGAGGCTATAGAGTGCCATAGTATTGAGTCTTAAAACCTGGTACATTTTTGCACTTCTGGTTCCCTCAGTTCCGTGTTTACATTCTCTGTTCTGTTTAAAAGTCATGAAGGATGGTAGGCTGTGAGCCTACCCACCGACTACCAACATGTAGTCTGTCACACCCCTCGTCCAAGAATATGTGACTCTATAATCATGTAATCTGACATACTGGCCATCGTATTAGACAAAAAAAATCATATAGTCTGAACCAGGCATTAGTCTCTCTTGGCTGAGGCAATACTTAGTTGGATGTTTACTAACTAAACAGTGTTTTTCCCCTATAATTAACATCAAATTACACTGGTGAAAACATTTGAAATTATAGATGCATAAAATAAATTGACCAGGTTTTTGATGCTTGAACAGAGTTAAAATGTTTACATGTTCCAGCCTAAAACAAATATCTGAATAGTTGGAGGCGGAGATGTAACTGGAGACGTCAGTGCAGCTCACCAATAGCAGATTTGATGCAGTGGTCTGAGGCCTCTCATGATGTTGGAAGATGCTGTCTCAGTGTTTCTGTTGCCCACAAAAGCTGCTTGGGCTTGTTATGAATTTATTACATTGCCATGTTCTTCATACCATTGAAGGACTGACTTGGTGTTCTAGTGGAAACACAGCTGTCCTTGTCGGTCTAGAAACACAACGTCCATGAGGACATTAACTATGTGAGCACACATCATTGTTCTGTAGGTCTGTTAAACACGAATCATGACAACAGGGACACAAGTTATAGGGAAACACAATAAAATATAATTTGACATATCGAAAGCCTATTAAAATGTTTCTACAGCTGTCTTACATTGTGAAGGCTTGACATTTATTTAAGATGATAACATTAAATCAAACACTAATTATTGAATAACACTATACTAAATGGCTACAAAAACGAAAATATTGTTTCTCTATTGCACAAGTTGCTTGTAAACACAAATGTACAGTCGTATGTATGTGTACTCTAAAGTGAGCATATCAAGCACAAATTTAAACATACATTTAAAATATATTTATTAATGAAATTAAAATGAAGACTTAGTTTTCATAAAGTACAGGCAATGTGGAACAAACATTCAGTAGCTGTGCAATAGAGAAGTTCCTCTTTGTGGTCACTGTTTTTTTTTTTTTTTTACACAAAGTGCCAAAGGACAAAATACTTAATTTCTCACGGGTATTAGTTAATACAGCTTCAAAATAAATATTAACTTAAAGGGGCAGTGTGTAAGATTTAGAAGGATTTATTAGCAGAAATGGGCTACAGTATGCATACTTATGTTTTTATGCATATGTAATCACCAGATAACAAGTATTGTTACGTTTTCTTTACTTTAGAATGAGCCTTTTATCTACGTAGGAGTGGGTCTCCTATCACGGAGGCTACCATGTTAAGCTGCCGTGTTTTTTACAGTAGCCCAGAACGGACAAACCACACTCTGGCTCTAGAGCGTGAATTTCTCATTTTTACGTATCAGCTTGGATTTGGAGTAATGATTTAGAGACAATTGGAAGCCGAAGAAGTAGTAACGTTAGAAACAAGGAAGCATTGTCGTGAGTTTTAAAACTATAATTTGAAGAACTGGAGGATCATAGTTGAACTTTAACACAAAAAAGAACTGAATTCCCATTGAGACACAAAGAAACGGGATAGGTGACAGCACAAAACCAAGATAAACTGCGGTGTGGCCTTTCCCAGATAGAAATCTCTGATGAGGGACAAATGTTTCCTGAATGGTGCCCAAGTTGTCCATTTTCTGCTGGGCAGGTTATTTAGCCTGAGAAGTCAAGTTAACTAAATGCAGGTTTGTGTTTCATAGCTTTAGCTAGAATCTGAACAGTGCTGGTTAACCCACTGCTGTGACGTGAGCTGCCGTTACTTTTGCTTGATTAAGTCAGCCGCATTTGTTTTCCAAGTGCACGATTTGTCCAGCATTTACAGTAATCGCTGTGAAACAGAGGTGAGGGCTGTTTAAGAAGTATGAGAACTTTGTTGAACATTGCAATCTGCAAGCTCACCACTAGATGTCACAAAACCTTCACACACTGCACCTTTAATGTGATCATTTGAATACAATAATAGGGCACTGCAAATATTTCATATTCCTGAAGGAATGTTAAGCTAACAAGATAAAAAGATACATTTTGTAGCAATTAGCAAAATTTTAAAAAATCCATTATGCGAGATGCATAATAACTGTCTGATTACCTTAGAAGTGTTTATTGACTGTATTAAAGAGTAAGCTATAGTATATGTACATAATGGTGCACAGTAACTACACATCAAAACACTCAGAAAGCCTAAAGTTTCCTCTGTGGCTTCTCAGTGGCATTTCTCAGAAAATTCTTACTTTAGGTTGCCCTCTAAATTAATAACCTGTTAAGAAAAAAAAGTTGGCAAAAGATAAGTTTAAAAAAGGAATTTTAACATTTAAACATTTGTGTAAATTAGCATAATGTGCATTGAATTAAAGAATGTTTTGTGTATCAGATGTAGAAATACCAGTCAAACCAGTACAGAATGTCCAATACGTGCAGGATTTCACCACTTGTCTGATTTCTTAGACAAACACATCTGTTCAGCAACATCCTGATTTCTTTTTCTGTTGGGGCTCTTTGTGCAACACCACTGCTTCCTCTCTGGTGTCAAACTTTTGAATCAACATCCTGGCAACAACACAACAACACAGTTAGCTGATATGAAGGCAACTGACCTTACATCACAGAGAATGTTAAAAGACATTCTTCTAAAACTATCTGGGTTTGACAGATAGCACAAAACAGAATAACAGTGAAGGACATGAGCTGTGTTACCTGGCCACAGTTTCCAAAGAGTGAATCACATTTTCACCAGTGGCAGCGCTACACTCCATGAATTCAAATTGGTACTCCTATGGAAGTAGAACAGCTGCCTTTAGTTAAACCTGTGTCATTATATCCTAGATCCATCAGGGGAATTGAAAGTGTGAGAGGAAGTAATGCCAAAGAGCCAAACCTTAGCCAGAATTTCCCCCTGCTGAGTGTTAACCTGCCGTTTTTCATGGTCACTCTTATTCCCAAGGAGCAAAATGCTCATGTTTTCTGCAGCTCCTTCCTGCAAAACATGGACCAGTTTGATTATTGTTCAGAAAGCTATGCAAACATCTTTCCAGAGATGAATCTTTCTTCATGGATAAGCTGATATGTTTTTGATATTTACATGGCAGGATTGTAGTCTGATTTTATTTGCCTTATTGTTCTGTACTGGAAACAAATTCCTTGTGTCTATCATACTTGGCCAATAAAGGTGATTATCCTTATTATTATTATCCTGAAATGTTTTAATCCTGGTTCAACAATGTAATTTTTTTCAAACTTTGTTCTGTATACATGTATAAATTAAGTTTACAGTTATTGTTGTTGATGTTGTTTTGAGGTCACTGGTAAAGAAACATTTTCATGAGATAAATGCAATTAGGTGCTTTCTCTTAAACATGCGTTTTTTTTTTGTTTCTGCAGAGCCTTTTGGTTTATTTCTGCTGCAGCAGTAAATGTTGCAACGTTGTACTGGATTGCATAACTTATGTAATTATAATACTTGCATAAACAACCTGACTCTTGTCTGTAGACAAACTGGGAAATTTACTGTACTGGAAGCAAGTGTGCATCAGTTACTACACACAGTTTATGAATTTACTTAAAGTACTTTTTTTTCACTTTAAAGTACTGTATGTCTGGTGCCTATAAATATGCCATTTTAACATCTGTAAAAAACATTATACAAAGCCCTGAAGAGCAGGGACAACATTTTACTGAAGCTTGAAATGCCCCATACCTGAATACAGTCTGCCCAGTAACTGACTGCAGAGAAGCTCTGAGAGGATGCGATGTCGTACATCAAGAGAAATGCGTGGGCTTTATGAAAAATTTGTCTTGTGATGCTGCGAAACCTTTGAACACAGTAAATAATGTAATTAGAGACAATGCACAGAGATTTGTCATCATGATGTTTTTAATTGACATAACTGACTGATGAATTTCATCACATTCATTCAACAGTGAACAATGCAGTGAGAAACACTACAATGACACACCCCAAGGGTGTTTCTACTAGTCTAATGATACTGGTTCACTGAGTTCCAGAGACTTCCATGAAGTGTTGCTCAAGAGATGTACTTTGCGTGTCTCTCCAGGAAAGACTGATGTTGACCGCACAATTGTCACTACAATGAAGTCAAGTAAAACTTTATATTATATTACACATACATTATATTTTATGTCTACAAAGATAGTGTCAAACTTTTTAGGTGACATTTTTAGTTGGGTTTAGGGGCTTTCTGTCAAAATTTGATGGGTTCTTTGGAGCCTGTCATGTTACACTGGGTTAATATGAGTTTAAATGACAAATGATGATTGACATTGACCTTCAAGAGACTCTGCAAACTATATTTGTAAACTCAAATCTGCACTTTACTAACAGCCTGTAACTCAATCATGCCAATCTAATATCAGCCAAATTCAACTAACATGCAGCTAACATGCACACCCTGGTTGCACGATGACCCAACCTCTGCTGCTGGAACCAGATGTCTTGTGCTAATGCCAGCCTACAAATCATAGTTGATATGTGTCAGACCAGTTCTGAAACAGGTTACAACCTGGTCTGCAGGAGGGCTCACAACACCTTAACTGTCTGGCATGTGTTCAGGAGGCTGTTACGTGATCAGTGACTGGCTATATTGGCAAGGCCATAAAGCATGCTACTTACAGCATATGACAATGCTTATTACAAGTCTTGGCTAACTGCTAAGGTGTACACAGTGCTGATGACCTGGGCTGCTGCCTTCAGATTGGATGACAACGAAGCCCTCAGGACAGAAACAACATGTCAAGTGCATCTATACATAGAAAGTCCATCACCACTTCCTGGAACATGTTGCATGTGTCACAGCAGGCAGAAAAACAACTTGTACCTTTGAGAGTGTTGGCGCCCTCTCAGATATGCTAAATGACTTCTAGCCTGTGACCTTCCCTTCAGCTACTATCCAGCCACTACTCGGCCTACTCACAGGAGACATCAGGAGGACCCATATCAGACTGCTTGACCTGAAAGTCTACACGCGCACATGCTCGGAATGATCTGATCAGCATTCAGCTGTACAATCTTTCAGCTTATGGTCACTAGGATTATGGCCGGCCACCAGCCATCAAGTGTTGGTATTATAATAAATTAGTTCTGTGTTCTAGAGATGTTGCTGGATTTGGATCCCTTATGGCTGTTTCCCTTCTCCATGTACCCTGTAAGCCTGCACAGTTGTCCCTACTCTGCTTGCAGACAACCTTCACACCTGCATAGGCCAACTGACACTCCTTATGTGCTTCAAGACCACCACATTAAACCTGTGTCAAAAAACAACTGCGTTTTGAGTCAGTGACAGCAAAACTGTAATACTGTATCAATCACAATGAAGGGCTTGAAGATGCTAGCATCAAATGTATTTTTTCTTTTGTGGCAAAATCCACCAGAATGTCCCCGAACACGGATAGACTGACACCAAGACACCTGAAATACCTGTCAGTCATGTTTAAGTATACAATTTCACATTTATTTCATTATATTAAAAACAGGATAGAACATGATTTTCTTTTTACTTGGGTAGAAATTTATTCCACACTTTAGAGGACAAAGGACAAACTGCAGTTTTTTTTCTTGACTACCAGGCACAAGTCTCTTCCTGTGTTTCTAGGGTCAAAGAAACCGGTCATGTTCACAGATACTGACTTAAAGATTACATGAGGGGAAATATAAAAGATGCCTTACCTTTCCTGGCCTGCTGTATCCCATAACTGTAGCACCACAGGTTTTCCATCCACTACCACAGTCCACATGCAGGAATCAAGGCCTACAAATTACAGTTATGTAACATTATTCAGTATATTTACAGACACATATACAGGAATATAACTGGATAAAGGTCAGGATCTTACCAACAGAAGAAGGTAAATCTAAAGAGAACTTCCCACTTTGAGCTCTTTTCATGAAGGACGTCTTGCCTACACTGGCATCTCCAACCATCACAACATTGTAACTTTTTGATCTGACACCTAGTCCTGTGGAATCACCTTCTGAAGGAAAAACAAAAACACTTTCTGGTCACACATATTTCTATTTTTCTATACAAAATGTCTGTCTACCAGCATCTGCCTTCTGCTGTGACTCTGACTTCAGTATTTATGTATTAATGCTGTTTACCCAAAGAAATCTTCCTCTGACTCTCTTGACCTAGGCGCACTTCAGCATAACAATGTTGAACTGCAGGCACTTGTTTAGGTGCCTTCTCACTGTGGAACAGACAATCAGCAGTTAGCAAACATATATACATGTTCGCGATATTGCTACAGCCGAAAGGGAGATATGGCTGAAAAACTAGTAGCTCCATAGCTTCCAGTGGAGCTGGTAGTCATTCTTTAAATGAGTCAGTGGCTTAGCTTCTTAGATGAGTCAAATGGATGAATAGCAAAACATCTTCAGTCCAATAGACAGTTTCATTTTCAACTGACATTAGAAAATGGATGGCACGGCATTTTTTAAAATGCTAACCTACAGGGAAGAAGTTTCCAGATTTAAAAAGCTGATATAGATTCCTCAACATTGCAACAGAATTAAATGGCTGCCTAACAAGGACTGTGCATGTCTAAAGCTATGGGCAAGGAAAGTGCAACATAGTTTCAGGGGGATGTGGCTTTAATTCTTGATGTAATTGTCTTTTACTGATTATCATCATCTTTTGCAGTTTCATATAACACCAGACTTCACAAAATAGTTATTTAGCGGCTGATATTATAGTTTGATGTTCATGTTGAAGAGAAAAAAGACACACAGACACACAGAGGAGCAGTGGCAAGGTCTCCAAGATTCTTTGAACAACCTACTGTACCTGCCATGTACTTTGAAAAACTGTGGAAGTGTAAAGGGTGGTCACACCACATAGTGATTTAATTTTGATTAATCTTATAACATCCCAACAGATAGGTCAACACTTTATTGTGCTAATTTAATAAGGTAAGAGGATGAAGCTTTGTGGCAGCAGTGTTTTTATTGGCCCCCCTCCCTTTGACCTGCTGATGTTGGATGATGGTTTTGTGCCACTTTCATCAACCTGAGAGACAAGAACAACTCAGTATTGTTTTGACAGTTATGAAGGTTGTACTTTATTGCAGATTTTATCTTCACTCGATGCCATTTTGATACACATTGTTTGCCAAATGACCAAAGGATAATATACAGTTGTTTCAGACTGAGCTCAGCATCTTCTGATCTAAACTCTGTTTATTTTGTGACAATTTTTATGAGGCTATTATCAAATTTTCAGGACTTAATTTTTATTTTATTTATCCTTTATTTTTACAGGGTAGTTCCAATGATGTTTATGACCTCTTTCTGAAGTGTGCCCTGAAAAGAATTTGTATTGTGTGTACTCTTATTAGCGTTATGTGCGGTAACTATGATGTAATGTTATAACCACTAAAATATGACATTTTATAGAAAGGAAACGTTGCAGAGTTATAATAAAATTCTACTAAGAGAGAGGAAATGAAAAAAGGCTATCTGTATTGTTGAATAAGTGTGCATTACAAGAAAAACATTAGTGCAAGGACTCTTCTCTGTTGTTAAGTGCTGCATGATATGGTTTTAGATCATTAGCTCCTTTCATATATCATCTTAACTGGCAGTCACAAAAATAAACTTATCAGCTGAATGTGTTAAACAGCACACCAACAGTAAGATCAAGAAGACAGATACGTGTTGATGTTCTCCTTTTCACTCTGAAACTTGTAATGCGGACCGCACGTTCCTCATTAAGGGTCATCGTGTCATTTTGTTCTTCTTGCAACAAACACTTTACCAGTGAGTGTGTGTGTGTGTTGGGGCTCACAAGAGGGTTTATGCAAATAGGAAGTGCAGCACAACACAGTACTACTTGAAAAACCTTCTTTTTAATTGTTGTCATGCTGGAACATATCATAGTTAAATAACCTTAATACTTAATCGAGGAAATGTGTTTAAAAAGTAAAATAACTACCAGTGAGACCTTTACACTCACTCATCAAAGAAACTATTATCACAACATGATTTTTTGTTTCTTTTTGACATTGTAACAAATAACCAAAATTAAACGCAGTGCACAGCTGTTTGTTCATCATTTTAAGTAAAATCCAAAAAAATCATAGATGAAGATTCTGAAAACCTGAGAGAAATATAGTCACTTATTTATTTTTTATTTTTAGCAGCTTACCTCTGATATTTTGTCCAGGCCCAAAGATTCTTTTCTGTGTTCTTCATCTGTGAGTCCTCTGACGTCTCTTCCTTGTTCTGCATCTATTTCTCTGCCCTCTGTTGCAGTTTCATGGGTATGATGCCCACTTGACTTCCTGTGAGATCCCATTTTTCTTCTTCTCCCTCCAGATATTGATTCTGACATAGTGTCACGTTTGGGAGAAGTGGATGGTTTTGCAGAGAAGTCATCTGAGGTCAGTTGATGCTCTGTTTCTAATATATTGCTGAGAGAAGGAAGATCTTCTTCAACTGCCTGTTGAGCCAGAACTTTTAACTGAGACACACCAGTGTGGCTGTATTTGACTGTTTCAAATACTTTTTCTTTCCCTTTTTGCAAGTCACTTTCTGTGTGTTCTTTTTGAAGCTGCAGATCTTCTTTGATTCCAGACACACCTTTACTCAAAACATCTCCAACATCTGTTGCAGTTGCCTCATTATCCACATCTTGCTTTTGATGCAAGTCTTCCCCTTTGTGGTGTGATCCAAGATTCCTCCGAGTGGAGCCCATCTTTCTTCTCCTGTTGGCTGAACTGAAGTTTGGACTTGCTTTCTTCATCACAATGTTTATATTGTGAGCTTCTTCATTCATTGGCTTTTGTATACTAGCCTTGGCATTTGTAGGCTCTTCTTCTGATGATTTCAAATCTTGGTCCTGTATTACCTTTGTGTCATCTGGACTTTGCTCATCATTTTGCGTGCTTGGTGAAATCTCACAAAAAGTCACCGTTATACCAGAGTCAGTGTTGACAGCATCTTCAGTATTTGGTGGCAGCAACTGATTTACTGAGTGCCTGTTTCTTTCAGTAACCATCACAGTGCTTGTAAAATCATCTCCCTCTGATGGCTCCTCACCAGCACCAACTATTTCCCCATAATTCCTTACATCAGCTCCATGAATAAATGTAACAGGATTAACAACAGTTTCATGGTGGGAGGCAGACTGTTCAGAAAGGAGAGCCATTAAATCATCTGTTTTCGCTATCATGTTACACTCTATAGTGTGTAGGTCAGAAGTACTGCTCTGCAGATTTTGCCCCAGATCACAAACAGAGCTGGTTTCTTGTTGCACTTCAACCACAGTACTCAGTGATGGTTGTGCAGTTTCATTTTGTGCTAATTCTGTTGTTACTATCAATGGTAAATCCTCCACAACTTCCGTGCTATCAAGATCTCTCATGTCAATTTCTGTGTGCAAATTGCTTTCCTTTGCTTCATCTGTATTGCCTGTTTCTTCCTCTTGTTTTCTAAGGAGTCCAGTCCTGCGAGTAGAGCCTATCTTTCTCTTCTTTTGTTTGGACTTTCCTTCCAAATGCTCATCTTGTCCCTTCTTGGTAGGGTGTTCACAGCTTTCTTCCACTTGATCTTGTCCATGCTGTTGGATTGAACGCCCCACTTCATCTCCCACCATTTCTATCACGAAATTGGTCTGTTGGATATGTATTTGTTGTCCCAGTAAGTCTTTGTCATAAGGTAAAGTTTCCATGGCTTGGACTTGAAAGACTTCTTCTTGGCAAAGTACATCAGAAGTGATGGACCTGAATGTGATATTGTCATCATGATATGAGATAATCCGTATGTCAGAGTCATCATTACAAACCGAGGCTTCTGATGATTGTATCAAGTCCGTTTTAACTCTGTCATAGCCTGTAAGGAGAGTTGAATTCTCAGACTCTTTTAGGTTATGTTTCTTTTCCTCCTCATTGACTTTTTCACTGAATTTATGAAAATCATCTTTGTCTGACCTTGAAGTGATGTCTGCTGTCACAGCTGTACTGATATCCATAACATTCTGGGACAAGGTATCCTCCTCTGGCACCTTTTCTGTGTTCTCACCTTCATTTAAAGTTGACCTAATTTGTCTAATTTTCTCAGCAGGTTTGAAACCTGTGTCAATTTGCTGTTTAGTGCTCTCTGTTGATAATGGTATGTTTATTGTTTCTGTATTTTCTACAACTTTTTCTTTAGGTTGTTGGTATGTTTCAGTACCAGAGTCCAGTACATGCTGTTTTCCTTTATTTCTTCGGCTTGACCCCAGTTTTCTTCTGTTTCCTGTGGGTTTGAAGCCTGTGTGAGTCTCCTCCTTGGTGCTCTGAAAGTTGTCCTTAGGGTGGGAATCCAAACAAGCATGTTCTTCTGATTGCAGAGTTTGTAAAGAAGATTTGCTTTCCTTAACTGAGATGTAATCAATTTGATGCATTTCTTGTATTGGTTCTGGATTATCCTCCTCTGTGTGCACTTTCTTTACAGCAGTCTCTGTGTGCTGAGCTCCTCTCACTTTACACAAACTGAAATGCTCATTTTGTTCCTCATCTGTAAGCAACTCCTCTTTTGGTGATGAAACTGCTACTTTCTCAACACTGCATTCAGGTTCAGTCTGCTCTCTACAGCTGTTGTTTTCCGGTGTTATCTCCAGTGTGATATAAGGCCTGTTACCTTCTGGTTTTAAATCATTGGCCTGTAAAATCTCACACTGCAGTATAAAGTCTGTATCATTGTCCCCTTCTTTGATTTCTGTATCTGTTGCAGAATACATATGGGGAATGTCTTTATCTGGCATCTTTCTGGAATTTGATTGGTCAATTACCGGTTGGGCTACTGTAGAATTTGAATGGACACTAATACTATTTAACTCATATGTGTCAATATGTGCATCACTAATGTCTCCAGTCTGAGAAGTGTCAAATTTGTCCATTACTTCCAGCATGCTTTCCATTGATATTTCCTGTATTGCTGTCTCTGTTGTTAATGACATCTTTGGTGTTTCAAGACGTTTGTTACCCATGGTATTCCCAACCAGTTCCTGTGTAGGTATCTGGTATGATTCAGCAACATGCTCACTCTCTTGACTTGACTCTTCTTGCCCCATTTCCTGTAATGCTAGTGACATTTTTGTTGTTTCAAGGGGTTCAAGGCCCCTAATATTTTCAACATCTTCCTGTTTGTATGAACAGCCGTTAACATGCCGTCCTCCTTTATTTCTACGACTAGACCCCAGTTTTCTCCTGTTTCCAGTGGGGTTGAAATGTGCTTTGTTTTGCTCATCCATGACCACATGTTTGTCCCAAGGTTGTGAGTCAAAAGGAGTATATGTTTCTGATTGATGGGATTGTAAAGACAACTTAGTCTTCTCAACTTCAGAGAAAAGTTCCTCCTTTTGAGGACTCATTTGTTCAGCACTGGGTTTTATATCAGTCTCCCCTTGACCTTCAGTCTCATATAACTGGCCCACTGCAGCATCTAGTCTTTCTGTGTCACTTGTCTGTGATTTCCTAGTATCTTCATTTATCTGGTCTAAAGCATCTAAGTTGTTTTCTTTTGTAGGATGCTCATGCTTGTTGTCAGGATTTGAAACTTCCTGCATGGCAGCAGAATCATCAGTACTTTTCACACTCAACTCAAATTGGGTTGTATCCTTGATTTCAGCTTGGCCTGTTGGGTTTAGAGAAATGATTTCAGAATTTTCGGTAGCATGAAGTATCACACTTTCAGAGGAGTATTCAAGTTGAGACATGTCTTGCATTTGTGCTGGCTTAACCTCCTGTTCATGCACTTTATTTTCTGAATGAGTAATTCCTTTATCTTCACTCTGAAGAGCTGGGTCATCAGTACTTTTCACAATTATCTCAGATTGGTATGTATCCCTAGGTTCAGTTTGGTCTTTCAGGTTTCCCTTGCAGGTATCAGAATTTTCTGTAGTATCGTGTAACACACTTTTGAAGGAGTAATATTTCATACATTTGTTCTGGTTTAACTTCCTGTTCACATATTGTATGTACAGCATCTTCTGAATGATTAACTCCTTCGTCTTCACTCTGGAGAGTGTCAGATTTGTCAGTTTCTTCCAGTGTGGCCTCCAATGATTCAACAGACATCTCCACTTTAAGATCAGTTTCTCTTTCATCATGCTCTTCTAGAAGAATTTCACTTTTAGGAATTAAACATTCCAGATCAGCTTCTGGACAGGTTGTTGGAGTGGGGATCTGAACCTCAGATGTAGACGCTGAATGCAAAGAGCTGTCGTGCGTCACAGACATGATGTCATCCTCACTCTCTTGACTTAATTCTTCTTGCCACTTTACCTGTGATGCTAGTGACATTTTTGTCGTTTCAAGGGGTTTAACATGCTGTCGCCCTTTATTTCTACGACTAGACCCCAGTTTTCTCCTGTTTCCACTGGGGCCGAAGTTTGTGTTGATTTGTTCGTTTGTGCTCACAGAATTGTCCTGAGGTTGGTAATCCAAAGAAGCATGTATTTCTGATTGCAGAGTTTGCAATGAAGGTTCAGTCTTCTCAACTTCAGAGAAATGTCCTTTCTCCACCTGACTTGTTTGTTCAGCACTGGGTTTTATATCAGCCTCTCCTTGACCGTCAGGCTCATATACATGGCCCACTGTAGCATCTAGTCTTTCTACGTCACTCATCTGTGATTTCCTAGTATCTTCATTTATCTGGTCTAAAGACTCAAAGTTTTCTTTTGTAGGATGCTCATGCTTGTTGTCAGGATTTGAAACTTCCTGCTTAGTAGCAGAATCTTCAGTACTTTTCACACTCAATTCAAATTGGTGTGCGTCTTCAATTTCAGCTTGGCCTGTCAGGTTTAGAGAAATGATTTCAAAATGTTTTGGAACACAAGGTATCACGCTTTCAGATGAGCATTCAGTTTGAGACATTTCTTGCATTTGTGTTGGCTCTTGTGCTTTATCTTCTGAATAATTAACTTCTTCGTCTTCTCCACTTTGGAGAGTGTCAAATTTGTCTGTTCCTTCCTGTGTGGCTTTCACTGATTCAACAGACGCCTCCCCTTCAAGGTCAGATGCTCTTTTACCATGCACTTCTTGTAGATTTTCACTTTTAGGAATTAAACCTTCCAGAAGAGCCTCTGGACAGTTTATTGGAGTGGGGATCTGAACCTCAGAAGAATAACCAGGTGTAGGCACTGGAAACAAAGAGCTGTCTTGTGTCACAGACATAATAATCTCATGCTCATTCTCTTGACTTGACTCTTCTTGCCTCATTGCCTGTAATGCTAGTGATGGTTTTGTTGTTTCAATGGGTTCATGGCCCCTAATATTTTCAACATCTTCCTGTTTGCCTTCCCAGTATGACTCAGCAACAGAGTCCTTAACATGCTGTCGTCCTTTATGTTTTCCGTTTCCAGTGGGGTTGAATTCTGCATCATTTTGCTCGCCTGTGGTCACAGAATCGTCCCAAGGTTGTGTGTCAAAAGGATTATGTATTTCTGATCGATGGGATTGTAAAGAGAATTCACTCTTTTCGACTTCAGAGAAAAGTCCTTCTTTCTCCCACTGACCTGATTGTTCAGGACTGGGTTTTATATCAGCCGCTCCTTGGCCTTCAGTCTCATATAACTGGCCCACTGCAGCATCTAGTCTTTCTGTGTCACTTGTCTGTGGTTTCCTAGTATCTTCATTTATCTGGTCTAAAGCATCTAAGTTGTTTTCTTTTGTAGGATGCTCATGCTTGTTGTCAGGATTTGAAACTTCCTGCTCTCCTGATCACTTGTTTGTCCAGCACTGGGCATTATATTGTCCTCGCCTTGGCCTTTAATCTCATATACCTGGCTTATTGCAGTATCTAGTCCTTCTATGTCACTGGTGTGTGGTTTCTCATTATCATATACATGAAAATCTTCATTTATCTGATCTAAAGCCTGAATTTTGTTTTCTGTTGTATGATGATCATCCTGTTTGCTAGGGTTTGAAACTTCCTGCTTGCTAGCAGAATCAGTATTCTTCACAGTCAACTCCGATTGGTATGCGTGCCTTAACTCATCTTGGGTTTTCAGGTTTACAGAGCAGTTGTCAGAATTCTCTGCAGTGTCATGCTTTATACTTTGAAAGTAGTAATGAATGTCATGTAGTTCTTGCATTTGTTCTGCTTTAACCACCTGTTCACATATTGTATTTACAGCATCTTGTGAATGATTAACTCCCTCATCTTCACTCTGGAGAGTGTCAGATTTGTCAGTTTCTTCCAGTGTGGCCTCCAATGATTCAACAGACATCTCCACTTTAAGATCAGTTTCTCTTTCATCATGCTCTTCTTGAAGAATTTCACTTTTAGGAATTAAACATTCCAGATCAGCTTCTGGACAGGTTGTTGGAGTGGGGATCTGAACCTCAGATGTAGACGCTGAATGCAAAGAGCTGTCGTGCGTCACAGACATGATGTCATCCTCACTCTCTTGACTTAATTCTTCTTGCCACTTTACCTGTGATGCTAGTGACATTTTTGTCGTTTCAAGGGGTTTAACATGCTGTCGCCCTTTATTTCTACGACTAGACCCCAGTTTTCTCCTGTTTCCACTGGGGCCGAAGTATGTGTTGATTTGTTCGTTTGTGCTCACAGAATTGTCCTGAGGTTGGTAATCCAAAGAAGCATGTATTTCTGATTGCAGAGTTTGCAATGAAGGTTCAGTCTTCTCAACTTCAGAGAAATGTCCTTTCTCCACCTGACTTGTTTGTTCAGCACTGGGTTTTATATCAGCCTCTCCTTGACCGTCAGGCTCATATACATGGCCCACTGTAGCATCTAGTCTTTCTACGTCACTCATCTGTGATTTCCTAGTATCTTCATTTATCTGGTCTAAAGACTCAAAGTTTTCTTTTGTAGGATGCTCATGCTTGTTGTCAGGATTTGAAACTTCCTGCTTAGTAGCAGAATCTTCAGTACTTTTCACACTCAATTCAAATTGGTGTGCGTCTTCAATTTCAGCTTGGCCTGTCAGGTTTAGAGAAATGATTTCGAAATTTTTTGGAACACAAGGTATCACACTTTCAGATGCGTATTCAGTTTGAGACATTTTTTGCATTTGTGTTGGCTCATGCAGTTTATCTTCTGAATAATTAATTCCTTTGGCTTCTCCACTCTGGAGAGTGTCAGATGTGTCCGTTCTTTCCAGTGTGGCCGATTCAACAGATACCTCCACTTCAAAACCAGCTTCATGTGTCACCGACATGA